GTTATAAATACATATTATTAATAACAGTTATGAGATCATATAATTGTGAATGTATATATGAAATTGATAAAATAAAAAAAATAAAAAATAAAAAAGAGAGAAAGTTTTAATCAATGAGATGATATCTAAGCATTATTCGAGGGTCCCTCTACTATAAAAATAACCCCAAAGATAATCATCAAAGTCTACTCTTCACAGGACAAGCTGTGAAATGAATGGGAATTCTGCCCATTTTACAAAAGGAATTGAGATGCTTAGGGGGTTGAAAAGGGACTATAAAATCATTGTCAAAGATTTCTGTCTCAATCAGCCCATGGCAAAGCAGATATTGTAGTGATAAATGGGGAAAATGCAATATTATTGTCACTCTTCCCAGGATTGATCTTTCAACAAAAATCATGAAAAAAGCAAGGCAAGCAACATTCCAGGATACCAAAAGATTAATGGCTAAAAAACCTGTATCCAGTTTCGTATCGTCCAATGTCAATGAGTCTTCCTCATGGAAAACATTAAGAGTGACTGGCATGGGAGAACACCAAAGAGAAAGCGTGTCTCAAATTTAGCAAAGACTATCTGGATGATTCTATTAAAACTATTGTTCTGTGGAAACATGACATGAAAATGAAACTTGTTAGTGTTAACGAGAAACAGGATGTTTGGAAAAATCAAGTACCACATTCCAGAAAAAGAGTCTCATCTCAACTATAAAGCATAGTGGTCTTCACATCACGTTTGAATCGACTTTGCAAACTGCCCAGATCCTGAGGCTTTAATATTTGAGGAAACAATTACTACTAAAATTATGATGTCTGTAACTTTTAACTGGGCAAAACGGTACATGACAGGATAACGATTTTCAGACAAAAGTGCCTCAAATGGGCCAACTTACAGAATGTGTCTAAAATCCAGGAGCCATGTCTCCTGTAAGATTGAAATTTGGCAAATTTTTGATTGATTCAGTGCTACCACCTGGAAGCTCAGTAGACAAGGTCCCACTTTAGCCTTTTGGAAGTTGAGTAGACCCACCCCTCCTTTGACACTCGAGATCAGGTAGACCTGCCAGAGACCTCTGGAGGTTAGGAAAATCCCACAATCAATTGTTGTAATTAAGCTGGTTGGAAGTTGGAAATCATTCCTGACCATTGTTTTTTGGTCATTCTGTTTCTGCTTAGGTAAAGGAATATCTCTGAAACAATGGTCATAGATTCTAGATTCAAATTGTACCAGCAATTCTAAAGTGAAATACCAGAGCATTCATCCATGAGGTGACGCTTAAACAAATGCAGGTCAGTAATTCCAACCACACAAATAAATATACAAAAGAATGGCTGAAGCAAAAGAATTTTTGCATTTTGAGACCTTAAGCCAAGGACAATTCAAAAATATCAGTGAGTTGAAGTACTTTGTAAAGAGGAAGAGACCCAAATGTTTCCAAATGAATGTGTAGGACTGAGCAATAAGTACAGGAACCCCTTAGTTCAGTGGTTCCCAAACTTGGCAACTTTAAGACTTGTGGACTTCAACTCCCAGAATTCTCCAGCCAGCTCTGCAGAGCTGGCTGGAGAATTC